TTCTTCTTCTTCTTCTTCTTCCTCCTCCTCCTCCTCCTCCCCGTCTTCTTCTACTTCTTCTACTCTTCCTCCTCAAGCTCCTCCTCTTCCTCCTCCTCCCCTGTTCTCACCCTCTTATACTTCTACATGTTTTTGTCTTTGCCGTTTTTCTTATTGTGCTTAATATTTCACATTGTTTGTTAAATGGTAATTATGTTCCCAGTATTCAGCGTACAGACAGTTTTTTACTTTTTCACCACATTGCTTAGTGGATGGTTTGCAGGTGCTCTGATCTGATTTGCTTCTTCTATACTATCAAATATCTACCATCCTTAACTGCCCTCCTTTTAAGTGTTTGCTACTCTCTTATAACACCTTTAATCTTCAGTACTTATTTAACTTTATCTATGTTGCAAGTGCCATAAAACTCTTAATAAGACTTGTTTCATAAAAGACTGTGTGGGGCTTTATTGTTTTTAGATTTGTTGTAATCTTTTTCACTATATTGTGAGGGCACCACGTAATCCTCCTTTCATACTTATGTATGATTCCTCTATTTTTCTTTTCTTTTCCTTTATGTCTTTCTTTTCCTCAGCTTGTAGAAAGAAAGCAACAAAGCAAGCCCATTTTTAACTCTCGCACAAAAAGTTAATAACATTTTTTATTTGAATGATTCTATGTTCCACAGGTGGACAGGGATTGTCCAGCTGAGGACTTGAACCACCACCATGCGTGTCCATCCGAGGAGACTGATTTTGGTTGCTGCAGCCGCAGCTCTCTGTCTCCTGTGTGGCATCATTGTGTACACACGCACCAGGGTTTCAAGTACCAGACTCACCAACAGCATTCAGGGAAAACTGCAATTTCGCCAGGTTGAGGTGAAATCGTTTTTTAATCCAAAGTCTTCAGATATCTTCTGGACGCAACACAGCGGAATACAACGGAAGCCGATTTCGAAGTTGAGAGGCAAAATATCTGGCGATTTTTCTGCAGACACGTCTAATATGGAGGTGGATACTGAAGATGAGGTGGAGATGCAAAACAAAAGCCATGGCGCTGACTTGGAGTGGTCAGCACTAATGGACAGCCAAAGGATGGATGTGCAGACGGCGCGAGAAAAGTTTAATTTGAACATTCAGACGAGTGACATGATTCCTCTGAACAGGGAAGTTCCTGATTCTAGGCCTAAAGGGTATGTAACTGTGGCCTATAGCTGTTTTATTTTAGGTCTGTGTTTCTGAGTTTGATATCATGCTGGGTACCATTTGTGTGGCATCACGGGGAGGTTAGGCACTTGTCATAATAATGAATTTGAAGACACCATTATTTTTCCGTCTGTTTGGCAATTTTAATTTTAATTTTTGCCATACACATTTTATGTCTTTTAAAAACATTTCTGTGTATTTTATTTTGAAAAAAAATTTGATCAAAGGCTTAAAAAAATGTAAATTTTGCAGTTTCAAAGGGCTCAAAGAAGGGTATTGTTTTCATCAAAAGGGAGACAAATGAACAAATTTTAAGATTAAACTAACAATTCTATTTACTCCAAAATTGACAAGAGCCAGATTCCACTGTGTAGTGCACATCTGGTCTTTTTGGAAGGGAGCATTTGACCCAGTGGTTAAAGTAAAGAAGTAGGAAGAAAGGAGTTCTCAAACGATACATTAAAGGAGATATTGTACATGTTATTTTGGCCATAAATATTCAATTTTCTATTCTATACTATAGAGGAGTTTTACCACCTGCTGATATACTGTGTGTCTGTGGGGACCCCTCCCCCCCCCTCATTTCCCCTGCCACTGGAAAAGAGGAAGGTATATAGTATATGTATAATAGGTGTTTCTTACCTATTTGGAAAGTACATTGTTTTTCAGTGAGGTGCTGTTGCACTGTTCTGCCTGTCACTTTAGCTATATTCCCCGCACTATATTATTACAATTATCAATTTGATATACATGTACATCTCTATACTCAATCTTGAATCGTTCTGTAAACAGATGCCGGCTTCTTCAGTACCCCTCTATATTGCCAACGACAAGTGTGGTCATTCCTTTCCACAACGAGTGGCCATCTGTCATCTTGCGTACTGTGTACAGTCTCATCAACCGCACGCCAAGACAGCTCCTCAAAGAGATTATCCTAGTGGACGACGCTAGTGACATCAGTGAGTGGGTGGTTGGTGGGCGCTCTGGTGTGGTTTGCTCCTTCTTTCCTATCAAATATTTATTGCCTTCATTCTTTCCTCTTCCATTTTTTTTGTATATTAGTTTCTAGTAACAATTCTAATCTTTGACACTTATATTACCTAATTGTGTTGCAAGTGCTGTAAAACTTATAGTGAAACTTAAATGTGATTATACTCACTTAAATATGGTTTTCTATAATGCATGTATGTGTCCAAAGTGAAGGATGTCACACAAAACAAAACGAACTACAATGAATTTAACTACTGCCTTGCCTTGTCTTGTCATCAAAGTGTTTATGCTCGGTATTGATCTAGGTTTAGCATGTCTTACTCAAGGACGTATCGCTAAAGTAAAAGATGATCTATGATGTTTGACAGTTCCCTTTTGCTGCATCAACTTTAATTGTTCTTCTTTGTCTCAGCTCATGCCGATGATTTCTGTATTCTTTATTAATAAACTTGCTCTTCTTAAGAAAGATGCGTCTTTTGTTTCGCCAAACCTAAGTTTTTTTCCTTTCTGACACCTCCCGGAGCAGTGCCACTGACTGAAGTGTCTTTGGGCCATTCCCAAAGGGGGGACATATCTCGTTCAAGCATAGTAGAATTGTAAATGGGCTGACTCATGTCACGCTCATAACTGTGCCTGATCTACAACAGGGAACTGCTTCTTTTTCTTTCCTGATCCTTACTATTGTCATTTTCCTCTACTTCTTTTGTATGTTTGTCACTCCCTTGTGACCTGCTATTTTGGGGTGCCTTGATAGGCAAAGCAGACCTTGTGCTGTTGAAGCTAGAGAGGTGAGCAGAATAAGTCTGATTCCCTGTAAAGACTTCTCTGTTGACACCCACCCCTTGGCGCTCATATGACCTTATGCAGTTGTGAGCGCCGTAAAACCCTCTACTATATAAAACAAAAATTTCCTTTCTGATGATTGTAAATTATGTTTTATGCCCTGATGGACACCATCTAGATAATTTAGGAGACTGGTTTCTTCCTCTCTATCTGTCAGGGCCGCCTGGGTTGATTGGGATATAGTATCCTAATTTCAACAGAAAGACAGAGAAAAATCGATTAAATAGACTGAATTCCCTCTAGACTGAGTATCTTGAATAGATTTACTGTCGCAAGTTAACTGAACAGTCACAGTCACAGTATTATCGTAATTACCATGTGCTCCCAACTCGTGTAAATGATCTGTTTCCTGAAATTGCCAATGCTATTTTTGTGTTCTGTTCACTTGACAGACATTTTAAAAACCAGATTTCGCAACTATTTGGACTGGAACTTCCCTCCTGGTTTGGTCAAACTCATCCGGCTGCCAGAACGGGAAGGTCTGATCAGAGCTCGTTTGGAAGGTCTCCGCCAGGTGACGGGAGAAGTCGTTTCTTTCTTTGACAGCCACATGGAAGTGAATGAGAGATGGTGGGTTATTTTTGCTTCAATGCCACCAACCCCACCTCCCTTTTATTCTTTTTTTTTTTTCGGGGGTGGGGGGTGGGGGGAGGGTTACTTCATATCTTTTCATGCTGGATGTAATGTGTATTGTGGCTGTCTATAGTGCAGACCTGCCATGTGCTCCAATAAAATCAGAGCCCTTCCATTTTTTCTTTTTCTGTCGTAGAACCCCAATTGGACTTACACAAAATGCATTTTTTTTTCTTCTTGAAATGTTTCTTTTGGTGGTCCGCAACTTATCGTAATGACATGAAAATACACAGGTTTGTTTACAACATTTGTACGAATTATCGTTAATGATGTGAAAATACACATTTTTATTTGCTCGCTTATACGCAAGTTTATTTACTACAGCCAGTTCAAAATGTAACCTTAATCTTCTAGATTTCTGGAGACTCCAATTTTGTCTTTAAAACTTCAATTTTAGTGAGGATTCTGAGAGAAACTTCTCTGTATGGTCATTTTTGTTTTACTGTGAACAGATTTTAGGTTTTGTTTGGCTTTTTCTATTGTTCTGTATTTGATGATTATGTTTCTTTTCCCCAAATTGTTGAGAGCTTTGGTACTAATGTTTATAGTTACGGTATATTATTCAAAGATCATAATGCTGTACCAAAAAGCAATGGATTTGACCCTTTATTTTGTTGTTTTTAGCCCTCCATCTTAATATTGTTATACCATGTACAGATCTGATTTATTTTTTTATTTTTAAAAATTTTTCTCCACTTCATATGCCAAGATTACAATGCTTTCCCATAAACAGATGTGAACTTCAGTGAGACATTTCACACTTTTTCTTTTCATTTTTGTTCTTTCCACAGGCTTGAGCCGTTACTGAATGAAATTGTGAAAAATCGACAAACAATTGCCATGGGCCAACTGGACTACATCAACCATGACACTTTCACATATGACTTCTATGAGGGTTATCGCACTCGCTATGGCTTTCGGTGGGACATGCAATTCTTTGAAACATTCTTTCGGCCTGACCAACTCAAGGGAAAGAAAGAAACTGATCCACTTCCGTGAGTACAGTTTTTATTTTGCCTGTTTACTCCTTGTGTGGAACAATTTTTAGGGATGTGATTTAATTGATAAAAATGTTTCTTAGATTTTTGGGTGCTAAGTAAGAAAAGATTATTTTTATAGATCGTCTTGTCTTTAAGGCAAATTTATATTAATCTTTAAGATATAGGATTAGAGTTGCTTTGTTGTTTGAGAAGACTTATGGTAGTAAACCCCGTTCAGTCACATCATATGATATTTTATGTTCGGGATTTAAGCCCTTGTAGGTAATTAGGCCAATGCAAAGAAAAAAGTGCTTTAGTTTGTCTAGTTTCAGCAAGAAATGTCAGATTAGTCAGACTGTGGCTGTAGTGTTTGGGCCTTCTCACACCAACCTTTTTAGAACTTTATTTAAATGGATATGTTCATCATTGTTTTTTGTTTAATGGAATGGTATGGGTCTGTGCTGCAGGGCAAAATAAAGGCAAAGACAAATAAGGGAAGTCTTCCTTCTTCATACTCTAGAAATGTAAAATCCCACACTGTTCTACTTCTTCATGAAAAAACACATTAAAGCAGAGACTGTGGAAGGTAGAGGCCTGTTGTGGCAAGGATGAGTGGGGCACCAATGGACAAACACAGCCATGGTGGCAGGTGATGGGTCTGATGCCTCTTTCAACACTGCAAAGGTTATTCTAGAGAAAAGAATCCTGTTTTGTTGTTTTTTCTCCCATAGGAGAGAAAGAGAGAGGGAGTTGAAGAACATAACATTCATGTTTCCCTGTGATCTCACTGGAGAAAACTGAAAAAGGGGAACTTCCCAGAGAGAGTTGAAGTTCTATGCTTTTGAACAGGTCTTTCTTTTGCCAAGTAGACATCGGGCTCAAAGTCAAACTTATTCTTAACACTTTCTGTTTGGTTATGCTCGCATAATTCGTTATTGTGTTTAGACTTTAGTTACAATTACAGTTAAACCTATCGAAGATGACCACCCTTTGTTATGTAAAAACCTGTCGAAGATTACCACCGATTGTGTTGTAGAAAAGTGAGAAAAAAAATGAAGGTGGGGGTGTTGGGAAGTGGTAGCTTCTACATGTGATTGTCTTGGAGAGGTGGCCATTAGTACAGGTTTGACCGTATTGAACATATTCTCATGATCCAGCCTCTTGCAGTTTCATTAGTTTATGAATACCTTTTTTCATAAAGGCAATCTTTAACACCTGTCAAATACTTCATATAACAGGGGTGTCCTGATGGTTGGCCCAGGTTTTGCTGTGGATGTGAATTACTTCAAACACATCGGGGCGTATGATGGCGGGATGAAAATCTGGGGTGGTGAGAATATCGAGCTGGCATGGAGGGTAAGTGTAAGAGTGAAAGAGTACTCTTTTGTGTACCTCTCAATTTTATTTTGTTTTATTAGGCTGTTTTGTTTTCTTCTTTATATGTGTTTGTATGAGTTAACTCTTTGAACCCTAGCCAGCGGTACACTGGTGGCATGTCAGATTGCTTGTATGCATAGCCACCAGTACTGCGGTGAGTGAGACCCCATCCCTTATCCCGCCTGCCTTGGACAAAATGCGCATGGAAAGCAGTGTTTGCTACACAAAACCGTATTCATTATTTTTAAAATCTTTGTTAAATAGATGCTATTAATGATGAAGTCTACCCTGAGTGGAAGATGGAATGTGATTCTGACGATGCTCAGGTGGAGGGGCACAGTGACCTCAGGAGGTCAGGGTTCAAAGGGTTAAACATATGAGTGGTTGGTGGGTGTTCTGAAAAGAAGTTTAAAGACCTGACTACTCAGAATGCCTACCAACCATAACTGCTTCATGATTGACTTCTTTCCCCTCTCCTTGATATGTGAGGGCTTTTATTCTCTTTAAGTTCACTTTTAAGGGTGTTAACTGTCTTTTATCATTCTTATCTTCCATTTAAACTTTTGACTTTGAGTGTTAGTACAATTATAAGATGGTGTATATGTGTTTAAGTTTTTGTTCCTTAGTGTGTGTGTGTGTGTGTGTGTGTGTGTTTGTGTGTGCTTGTGTTTGTCTATGTGTGTGCATTGTCTTGCAGTGAAGTATGGGACTCATTGATTGTTTGGTTTTAATACATTGCTGGAATAGGCTGATTGAATCGCATTGAATTGTTCTCTTTGATGTGGTTCAGGCTTGGATGTGTGGTGGGCAACTGCTTCACGTTCCATGCTCAAAGATCGGCCATGTCGAGCGCTCACAGCCGTACACTTTCCCCGAAGGACGACTGCGTACAGAGATGGTCAACTACAAACGAGCTGCTGATGTTTGGCTCGGAGATTATCGCCAGTACGTCTACACCATGTTTCCTGGTATGAAGGTATGTCATATATACTGGTTCTTTATAGTCTCATGTAACAGAAAGTTTTTGTGTTTTTGGTTCTACGAAAAGGGAAAGTTTCCATACTTATAATCTCAAAAAAGAGTAATTTTCTGTCTCTGTAATATCTGAATATTTTCTATCATTATAATCACAGTTAAGAAAAGTTTCTGTCTTTATGTTCTCGGTTCAGATGCATAACTTCTTCATGAATTTTGTGATTTTGATTTGTAGCATAAGAATTATAAGAAAAAAAATTATTTAAATTGTTTCGAACTTTATTGATTTTAGGCATTATTTTTTTGGGTTTGATTCTAGATGTTCTCTTATTTTTACTTTTTTTTTTCTCCGCAATTTCTGTTCTCATAATGTGCATTACTGTACAGCTGCACTGTTTCACCATTGTAAATATGCTTCTGAACCACAAACAATTTAAAGAAATGTTCGCGTTTGAATCTGCAGGCTTTGGATCCTGGCAGTCTGTCAGAGCGCAACCTGTACAAGAATCGGCTGCAGTGTCATAACTTTACGTGGTTCTTGGAGAACATCTGGCCAGAGCTACTGCCATACCAGGAGAACTCGAAACATTGGGGACAGGTACTTAATTTTTTATTGACTGTCAATACGGTGCTGTGGAGTTTCCTATTATGCTCTTGATTTATTCATATATATGGGGAAAAACGTTTTGTCTCTCGCCATAATTTTTAATAAATATTCCATCAAACCTGTTAAAGACTACAACTCAGTGTTGTAGAGAGAAGTGATCATCTTAGACAGGTGGTCTTCCCATGAAATGTAGACAAAAACACACAGGGAGAAGTAGGAAGTGTTTGTACTGGTGATTGCCTCGGACAGGCGGTTGGTGGAGTAGGTTTGAATGTATCGTGTTTCATATTACAATCTATTGTTGAAACTCACAATGGTCAATTGTTTACCCCATTGGACATAATATTTTGTTCCTAACGATGAATTGTGGTATATACTGGATTTTTACCTCTCTTCTAAGTACTTATATAGCGTAAGCAGTTTGTTTATGATATAGCAGCTGTAGCCTACTCTGTGAGCTGGTGATAACTTGGTGTCTGGTGTGGTCTTCTCATTTTACTTTTCTTAAGCTGCTCAAAGTGTCTTGCAGAGACAATTTTCACTGTTAAGACAGTTCACATAAGAGGGTTTGTGATATTGAGACACAGAGTACAAACAAATATATGCATGTCCTATTATGAAAATGTCACATATTTTGTGATGTAATCTTTAAATTGCCCCAACTTTCTCTTGTACTCCTCACTTTGGAAGCTTCTTGTCTATGCTGTTACTGTTGGAGTGTGTTCTGTCTCTGGCAAGATTTGTTGTACTACTACCTTTGACTCAGCAACTTTTTCAGTGCCACATGTTCTAATAAGTGAACTTCACAGCTTCGGTGTGACCTATCAGTTTCTGTGTCACTGTGTCCTTAACTGATACTTGTTTAGTTTTATATCGATATATAGATAATTTCTGCATTGACACCAGCATGTAATTGTATTTGAACCAGATCTAATTTATAAAAAGTAGGTAGTTGGCGGGTGCTCTGGTGTGGCTTACGCCTTCTTTCCTATCAAACATCTATCGTCCTTATCTCCCCTCCTTCTATTTTGTGTTTTTTACTCTCTTGTAACACCTCGCTAATCTTCGGGGCACTTTAATGACCTTATTGTGTTGCAAGTGCCGTAAAACTCTTACGAAAAAACCCAACTAATTTTAAAAGATCTTTTTCTTTGTTACCAAATGAAAAATAATTTGTCTGTCAGTTATGTCCCTTGGTTAATAGATGCCGACCTGTGGGTGGGTCACACATTATTATACTGTGTTGTCATTTCCAAAACTCATAACTCTCATACATTTTCTTTGGCTTTTTAGGTGAAGAGCGCATCTTCCGAAGCTTGCCTTGACAACGATGACTATGTGTTCCAGGCTGCAAAACCCCTGAGAGTGAATCATTGTGAGCTGAACATAAAAACTCAGGTGTGCATCTCTCATTAAACAACAGAGCTACTATATGGTCGCTTTTAAGCACAAGGGGGCCATCCCGAAAAACGGAGTTTTGTAAAAATCGGCGGTAAAGTTTTTGCCCCCTTTCAGTTTCTTTAAAAGAAAAAAAGAGTATTCTCTATAACCAAACACATATACACACCAATGAAACCAAACTTCTCCTATAGGCAGGGCAATGCCCACTTTTGGTGTTGGTCAAGAATTCTGGAAACCCCCGAAATCTAGGTTAGCCCGCTTGTTCTTGAAAGCGACCATATTACAGTAACAGTGCTTTTTTTTTTACCATTGTATTCTCTTACCTCAGGTAACTGTGATGGTAAAAAGTCTGTCGTGACTAAAAATTTACCAAAGATACTTTGGCTTTCACTGAAAGATTCCCTATTTAATTATAATTTATGTTTTTTATGTCGATTGCAGTGGGTGCAAGAAAGTGATAATTGTTTTGCTCTGTGTTGTGTCCCTGTATTTTTTTTTTAAGGTGCTTCTGTCTTAATGCACAGGGATGTATCTGACGAAATCAAGTTCCTTTAGTTTTATTGGTTTGTTGTACTAGTCTTGCCTATATAACCTACTTGTGTCAAAAGCAGGATGATGTATGTACTTCAGAAATAGCAGTTTTTAATGTGGTCGAGGTACATAAGTGACTGGTCTCAATAATAAGTGTCAAGAGTTGTTTTTTTTCCTCAAAATCATGAAGTGTGCAGTTATTTTCGCTTTGTCTTTGGACATCGGTAAGCCTTCTCTGTCACATTCTTTTATTTCATCTTGATGCTAGTTTTAACTGCTCTCTTCCAGTAGCTACAGACAACCTTCTGCAGTCTGTTCCCAAGTTCTGCAGTTAATCTGAAGTATTTTTTTACTTACAAGCATCTGCATGTCTGGTGCTGCATAAAGTCCCCCCCCCCCACCCTCATTGAAACAGGTCACACTTCTTCTCTATAGGGGTTTGCATTGATGAAGGATGGGCGCCTGCGTACGACCTTGCACTGTGTTGTGGCTAAGGCAGAAGGTGCAGACCTTGTGCCTTACATTGAGAACTGTTTCTTAGCACCACCTCAAAAATGGGCTTATTCAAAGGTAAGCTTATTTCTAATAGTCCTGTCCAAATTGTTTGTACCATGGGCAGCTGATTTATTATTAATTGAAAGGACTGACATAAAATGTGCATCGTAAAATTTCTGTCACTTGTAGATTGTAAATATTTTATTCCATGTATCTTATAACATATTTCACTTTAAACTGTTGTTGTTATCGATCCAGCAACAAATTTAGATTGTATGTGAATGTTTTATTCTGTGCATCTTAAAACTTCTTTCGCTTTAGATTGTAAATGTTTTAATCTGTGCATTGACACAACCTAGATCACTAAGATGGCAGACTGCTTTGATTTTGATACTGCCTGTCAGGGCAACTGAGGCTGAGTGAGATACAGTATCTTCCCAAACAAACGAGGAGTCTTGATAGAATAATTTTCCTGCTCGGTGTGTTGAGTTCACGTCTTTTGTGTGTGGTGGAGAAGAGTCTTATCTATCACCCCACAGAGGCCAGATCTTACTTGGTAGTGTCAGTCAATCCACATAATTGGTAAAAAAAAAGTGCTCTTCCTGGGGGCATGTTCCTCAGGGTACTTGATGGCAGAAACATTTAGAAATGCATACAATTGTCTTTGTGAGGAAAACAGTTTCCCAAAGTGTCTTGCAGACGCATAAATTAATTACACACTTGAAACAGCTCACAAAAAGGGAATTTGCTGATTTTGAGATACAGAGTACGAATAAATATTTGTCCTGAAAGAAAACTTTGACCTTTTTTTTAGACTGAAAACATATTATGTGATCCGATCTTTCAATTGCCCCTACTTTCTCTGTTACTCCTCACTTTAGAAGCTTCATGATTATACTGTTACCATCGGAGGTTGTGGGGGCCATTGTTAGGCTGACTCACCCTATACTATAACTGAACCAACAACCAAAATGGGACTCCTTTCTTGCTGACTGGCTGTAAACAACTGTTCAGCTGCAACTTCTCAAGATTAGTAGATAGATTTGTTTTCATTGAATGGCACTCACTTTTTAAGATTTGGTTTTAGTTTCATGTACAGTAGAACCTACTCTAGGGAGCCACTTGTCCAAGACAATCACCTCCACAAACAACTGCTTTTCAACATCCCCCCCCTCCCCCCTTGTGATTTTTCTACATTATAATGACACTGTCCAAGATATCCACCAGTTTAAACTTTTCCTCTGCACATTGGCTGACTTTCCTAGATAAGTTTGACTGTAATTCATGATGCTGGTGGCTGACACAATGTGTTGTTCCAGGACTTTTGTTTTCTCTCTTATTTTTTCCCCCAGTGCAGACTAACCCAGAGAGTTTTAAAAAATCACTGTTTGAATCATAAAGTATTTCTTGATCTATAACCAATTAATTGTTGATGTATTTCAGCAAGAATTTACTATTACTTTTTTCCCCATTTGTCTATTTCCCAAACTAAATAATACTTATTTTGTCAATGAGGTTCTCATTATGTTGAAATAAAAAAATATCCTCATCAAGTTGGGTACAGAATGACTGTTTAAGGTTTAGTGTTGTCCCCTTCCAGGTTGATGGAAATTTATTTATGTAATCGACGGTCTTTGTTTCCACACAGCACCGCCAGTTGGTCTTGGAGATACCTCGACTGTGTCTACAAGTACTGAGCCGAGCCCAGCTGGCCTTCCTTCCATGTGACCCTGCTGAGAAGGCTCAAAAATGGCTCTTTGAAACAGCCGGTATCTTAGAATCTCTCAAAGATGAGGCAGAAGACTATGGTTGATGGGATTATCTGCTGTCAAGATAACAGTGGATTGTGTTGTATCAAAGACAACTTACACAACTATTTAAGACTGTGTCGAACTTTGCACATATCAGCTGTCCCAAGCTTACATATTTGAATCTGGCCATTTATTTATTAGTTGTGTTTTGGTTCTTTTAATAGTAGATAGTCTTGAATTATTAAATGTGTCACAATCGCCATGGGCAATGTCAAAAATTATATTTTGAAGCTTGTTACTTATGAAGTTGGTTTCATATGAAACTGTGGAAGGTCCCAGACTTTTTGTTATACATTAGTGTTCAAGATATTGCTTTTCTGATAGTTTAGTTGGTTGTATTGTAGGCCTCTATATGACTGTGCATTGACAAAGCACCTGATGATGGAAGTAGAGGCACTCGGTGTGTGAAAATTGCCTTATTATAGGGCTTGTTTCGTTTGAATATGTATTGGTGTTTGCTTGTGATTTTTCAAAGCAGTATTTCTCAATGCTCCTGAGAATGGGCTCTTTTCCTTTGATACAAACCTTATGAAGTTTTGCTTGATTGTGTTGAGAATTTGCCAAACAGTCTTACTGACTTGTCAGTCCATCTACTTACTCATGTAATAACCGTTCCCTTTGCTTGTACTCATATCATAACTCTACAACCTCTAGAATGTACTCTAATTTTATTTTCAATACTCTTTATTATTTTTAACTTTTTTGTTTGGGCTTGTATTTAACCCTTACTGCCCTAGCTGCATATATTTTCCTCGCAAGTTCCCGTTCCCCAAGGTGCAGTCTCTTTTATTTTCCTCAAATTCAGTCACACACTTTTACCGTAACCTAGCCAATTTGTCTGTGAAAAATATTCCACATGCTATCTTCTAAAACTTCAGAGGAGAACAGAATAGAGATTTTTAAAAACTGTTTGCCAAAAATTGAAAATAAGAAACAATCAGTATTGGCTGTGCCTGAGGAGTCAAGGACTCCAGTATTTCCTGGGCCAGAGGGAAGTGAGGGCTAAAATTAGCCTGGTGCTATAAGGGTTAATGTCTCAATGCTTTGTTGCTGTGACAATGTTGTGGAACTCGGAGGTTTATTCTGTTTTAATGCTGGATGCAGGGTATATTGAAATGTTTTTATTTTTCACTTTGTAGGGGGTGCTTTGTTTTCACACCTTTCTTTTTATGTCTGTTTTTGTGTGTATTTTGTGTTTGCCTTTATGTTAGTTTGTTATTTGGCTTGATTTCATAGAAGCATTTAAATTTATGCCTTGAATTTGCATTTGTAAGTATGTGCATGTATATATGTGCCTGTCTGCATGCTTGTGTGCATGCACGGGTGCCTGTGTGTGTGCATACATGTATGCCTCTGTGTATGCTTATGCTGAACTTTTTAAAATTATATAATAAGAACTGACCAGTATGGTGCTGCAACTATCATGAGATATTACAATGTTTTGTACATATCAACTGCTAAGTGTACGACTCCATCATACGTCACTTTTCACTGGGGGTGGTTGGCAGGTGCTCTGGTGTGTTTTGCTACTTCTTTCCTATCAAACATCTATCGTCTTTATCTCTCCTCCTTCTTTTTTTAAACGTTTGTTACTCTCTTGTAACTCCTCTAATCTTCGGCACTTATATGACCGTAGTGTGTTGCAAGTGCCGTAAAATTCTTACTAAAACTTAAACTAAAACTTTTCAAAATGGCATATAGTGGAGTCTTTCACTATGCAGTTGATATAAGCTGACACCTTGTGATGGCTGAGAAGATCTGGTTTCTGCAAAGGTGCTGCTGTTGTTTTCAGTAGCTTGATAAACTTTTCGAGTTGAACAAACTTCTTGTAATGCACAGTGTTCACACAAAAATGTTGCTCTTCACAATACCTGGGTGTTCTTTACTTTCAGCCTTCTTATGCATCTCTTTGTCTGTACAGGTGAGACTTTTGGTATAGAAGGGTGCTTTGGTGTGGTTGGCTCCTTCCTTCCTATCAAACATCTATCATTCTCATCTCTCCCCTTCCTTTTTTGTGTTTGTTACTCTCTTGTAACGTTTCTAATCTTCAACTCTTATGTGACCTTGTTGTATTGCAAGTCATATTAATTAGGTATTGATGCTGCAGAAACAAGCTCAGATATGATTTTGAGAACTTAAATGATTACGTTTTTTTTTTCCCCCTCCTTTTTTGAATTAGCCAGTTGTAATGCATTGAAGTTGGAGGTTTCTGGTGATGCCTAGTCTTTTTCTCTAGTGTTTGAGTCATGGGTTGTTGGTTGTTGTTTTTTTTTTGGGGGGGGGGGGGGTTGTGAGAGGAAAAAGTGTACATTATTGAAAACATGCTTTGTACTAATATTGTAATTGTGTTTTCAGATTTTTGTTCCACTTGAACTGTTGAAATTTGTACATCTAGTATGATCTAGTATCAGTGATTTTAAAATTATCAGTGACCTCACGTAAGAGTACCAAAGAGTAGCACATGGTTAATCTCGCTTGCTGTAGTTTTTTAAAATGTTGTTGACGTTTAGTTGTACTACATGTGAGTGATTCACTTTCTTTACAATCAAAACATCAGTGACATTGTCTTTGCTGTAATGTGATTTACCCTTGACATATCAACAACGAACAGGATGAAATGCTGCACAAAGAAAAGAGCCCATTTACAATTGGCTTTTATAGAAAAGGCAACTTTCTGAATGATTAATACATTTCAGAGCTAAAGTACAAAATGTTACAGTTGATATTTTGATCTCAAAATTAAATCAACTTGGCATATGAATATTTAGCCTTGTAGTTTTATAGTTTTAAAGGATCTATGTCTATGTTGGTCTCTCAGTTCCGACAAAAAACAAGAATCAAAAGTATTTTAAATCAATGGAGATGATGTTCAAAGAAGGTGCTGAAGGCACATAGTAAGATCGTGTATTTTGAAAAAGTTTGTATTACGTGCTTGTTTGTGTGTTTGTGTGCATGTGCTCAAGTAGAATGTCTGCTTTTGCTCAGATGACTTGCGTTTTTGAACTACAATGGTTGTGGTGACCTGGCCGCTATTATTGACTTTAAAAAAAGTCCCCATAGTGTTGTATCTATATTTAAACACCTTTTCTGTACATTTTCTTATGACCTATATTGGTGGTATAGTGAATCTGTAATTTTTACATGTCTGAACTCAACGTGAGCTGGAATTTGCCCTTATGAGATGGCTCCGCAGGTCCACGTCTTTATTTCTGTTTGTAACTTTTGTAAAAAGAAAAATATGGGAAAAGCTATTTAAATTTTATTTTCTACTGTAGCTATACTTTGTTAATCACCATCTCAAAAACTGGCGACTGTCATAGGATGGTAAGTTGAACACTTTGTTTCCATATGAACTGATATTTCTATGACTGCAGTATCTTTCACACTCTTATTATTCACAATGATAACAAAACAAGGATTTTTAAAAATCACACTGACAAGGGTTTCACTGCACTACTAACATCAATCATGTGATATGTGTATGAGTCAACCCCTCTTTGTCTACTGAGAATCACTTACCTAGTATTCTACAATATCTGTTAATTTATGGTTTATCCTACCCTGTAAATAAAAAAAGAGTTAGTCTGTTTCAAGGTTTTAACAGTGCATGTAAACTCCAAATAGATCCTGTACTTTTAACCACTGAGATATCTTTTAATTAGTTTCTTTTAATAGTTCCTAGTTCATAATATGTTTTTGCATATGTACATTTAGTCTGAAATTTACTGAAATATTGACACTTATCTGTGAGAAAAATGTGGAAATATTAAAATAATTCTCCTATCATGTTTCTAAATGAAATCCTAACCATATGGTTCCATACCAAGCCTTATTTAAAGGCATACATTTTCAGATATGATACATACACGACATATCTTTGATGTGTAGATAATGAAGTTACTGAAGCACATGGAACTTGCTGATGAGCGGCAATTTGGCCTATAATGAATCACCTTCTGTACCTGTTTTTGTTTACTTTTACAGTTTTAGCAAACTTTTCACCAGTATCTGTGTCTCTGACCTGCGTGAAGGACGGCTGCTCCGAGTGCTTGTATCTGACAAAGTTTGCTAACCTGATTATGATCTACTTTTTATTACTTGCCGCTTATGAGGGATCAGATTTAAAGACGAGTCCAAAATCTAAAGTAGTTACCGTTTTGATATCAAATTAAATGTTTATAGTATTTTGTCCACACGTCACTGTACAGGCTGCATTTACTGTTTTTAGTGCTCCTTCCCTTCTTTTTTTTGTATTCTCCTCCCCCTCCCCCATCCACCCTCTCACCCCTCCTACCCCCTACTGCTTTTCCACCCTTCCTTTCCCCTGTGTTATCTTTGTTCTGTTGTTCATACTTGCCTTTGAGCATTATCATGACATAATAACACCAATGTTGCAGCAAAACCTCATGTAATTTTGAATAGATATTTTCTCTCTCAGATACTGAGTATCTCATTCTGTTCTTCTGTAGTGGAAGAGCATATTGCTACTTGTTTGGAGCTAGTGTCGGTGTGACCCTCACTTCTTTGTTTTGTGCTGGTTGTGCTCACCGGTTCTAGAAGAACAAAGTGTCAGGTGTACAGACTTCTATGTCATGGGAGAGCTTTGTTATGACTTTCGAGAAGTTACATCTTTATAACTTATGGCTTATGGATTACCGCAGCTCAGGTTTACGACAGCTTCCAGTAGTGTTGTTGACAAGTTTTAAACTTGATTTCAGATTGTTCGTTAAAAAATTGTTGTGAATGTGTTTGTGTGTGTGGAATACTTGATATGACTCAACCTTACCCAGACTCAATTCTCAGTGGCTCTTGGGTAATTTGAGATTGAGACCACTAGTATAGTCTGTCAGGCTGGCGAGGAAAATGAGCTGTTTATCATTCTGAAACGATCTGTGTTCTTGTCGGTATGGATACTTTAATTTTCCGATCCTGAATGGGTATGGATACATAATGATTAAAGAGATGGACTTGTAGTCCAAAGGCTGTGGGTTTGATTCATGTCTGTAATGGGAAGTATTATGTGTGATTATGAAAGGCTCAGGTATTAAACTTTTTGTTGTGTGGCGTCAGTGGCCTAGTGGTTAGGTTACTGGGCTCGTAATCGTGAGATTGCGGGATTGGTCGTTCGAGCGTCAGCTTGGTCCGACGTTGTGTCCTTGGGAAAGACACGTTACGCGAATTTCCCATTTGACTTGACCCTTTCAGAGAAGGACATTGAACTTGGAGGTCCCGCCTCTTAAATAACCTAATAGTGTTGATAGGGGCGTGAAATCTTTACCATTTCACCATTTAAAACAAAACAAAAACATTTTTTGTTCTATCTGTTTTGCCAGTTAAAAGGGGTATTTAACTATCATTAAATTTGCAAGTATTTGAGTGACAGCGGTGCAGTATGTACATTTGGTTTATATCAAGCTGTATGTCTCTGCTAAGGCTTGAGAATGGAAAGTATTGACAGATAAAATACGTGAATGTGAAATTATGTGTCGGTTCCTTTGGAGTACTATATCTCTTTACATTGTACTTTTAGGGCATTGATTTCTGTCACTTGAAATATATGACTCACAACTGTTCTTTGTATAGAGAGCAATATTGTGGAGAAAATACCAGGAATGGCTGGATTAAATTTTTTTTACGAAAGCAATACTTAGACAACAATACTGGATAACGACCTCTCTTTCAAGTTTTTTTTTTTTTTTTTTACTCAAGATTTGACAGAAAACACAATATTGTCAATTTTCAAGGGATGAGTTTGAGAGAGAATGTATATTTTTTCCAGGTTTTTTTTTTTCATCTGTTTTGTTTGTGAACTTGCAATTTAAAAGCAATATGGATTTGGGCTGAGGGTTTTGTTTGGTTTTTTTTCCTTGAGGGGAGGGGTTGTTTTTGTTTTTAAAAAAATTGTTTTCTGTTTGTTTGCTTGCTTATTTTTTGAATTTCAAAATTTTTGTTTGTTTGTTTGCTTTTATATTTTTGGTGATTTTTGTTTTTGTTTTGATTTTTGCACACTCCCTTTGCCATATTTACTTCTACAGCTGCTGTTATACTAGAAGTAATAGATCTTTGAAACATTTCGATTTCTATGCTTGTGTAACCTGTCTTTTCCTACATGCAAACTACAAGTTTTTTCTCTCACTTTTTTCCTAGTTTTGTTGAATTTGTTTCTGTCTTTTTTTGTTTCAGATGATCTTATCCACATGTTTGAAAACCTTTTTCTTGTGATCTATTCGTTTCTATGTTTGGTTACATCACGTCAAATTTTTCTATTGATGTGAATTTGAATCTCATGCCCCTCTACGCAAAGTCAGGTTGACTTACAGGACATCTGTCAATTGCTGCTGTTCTCAAATCCAATTTTTTTAGTTATATATATTGCTCTTTGTGAGAGATGACGGCTTTGTATAAATGTGACTGTCAACTCAGTTCTTTACAGTTTCTTGTGCTGGGAGTTGAGAACTCGTTTCATGGAATAAACTTTTGTTGTTTTTTTATTTTAACGTTCCCATAACAATCATCCAAGTTTTGACCTTATGTTGATT